CCGCCCCGCCACTTCCGCCGGGCCCGCTTCCGGCGCACGCCTCCGTGACGCCACCCCGCCCCGCCCCCCACGTCCTCGCTGCCGGAAGCGCCGCGCACAGCGACGGCGGGGCGCAGAGCAGTGACGTCACGGGTCCGCGGGGGCCCGGGGTCAGGGCGGGCTAAGCTGGGGAGGAGCTCCGGAAGTTTATGAGCGCAGGAGCAGTCTGCGTCCTTTTTGTGGTGGTAGTTCCACAAGTATGTCAAAACTCACTGATATGTACGCTTTAAATAAGTGCGGTTTATTCTAGGGAAATGATACAGTTATTATTTTTATAAGCAGAGAGGAATTAAAGGAGGGAGGTTATGGGGGTCATCTGTACTCAAAACAAAACTAACCTTATAGGATTGCTGGATGATAAGCCGTGAGTGATATTTAGCGTAATACCTGAGTTATAGTGAGTGCTCAATAAATGTGCACTCTTATTTTTAGTTCGTGAAATACCGTACATAGTGCCTGGAACATGCATGATGACATCGTCACCGTCACAGCAGCATAAGAAAAAATGATGGCCTGAACTAAGCAGTGGTAGTGGGGATGGAGCGCTTAGGAAAGGAGTTAACTTTTAGCAAACACCTATATACAGGGACTGACAGCCATTTTACAAGAAGAATACGTGTTTCATGTGTTACATTGAAGAAACAGGAATGGATTTTAAAAGTAAAAAAGTATGTCTTTCGGTGGGAGGAGGTGTGTGCTGAGAGTCACTCTGCCTGGATCTGAATCCCATGCTAGCTGTGAAGTCTTGAGCACTTCAGTTAATCTCTTAGTTGCCTCATTTTCAAAATGGGAATAATAATACCCATTTTGTAGGGCTGCTGTAAGAATTAAATGAGATAATGCACCTGAAGTACATAAACTGGCACAGAAGAAGCATGCCCCAAGGTTTTTTTGGTGGGGGGCGGTTTTTTTGGCCGTGGTTCGGCCACGGTGCAGGGATCGATCCTGGGCCCCCTGAAGTGGAAGCCCGGAGTCCTAACCACTGGACCGCCAGTGAAGTCCCTCCCCAAGTATTTAATGACCCTTTCTCCTGTTTCATAAAAAAGACCCAATGAGACAAAATTATATAATAGCTATCAACTAAACACAGGAGAGTCCAGGGGAAAACATCAAATCTGGGCCTTAACCATTTCAATCCTGGAGAGGATTTGGACATTTCAAATCCCTAGGGAAGGAATGTGATGTCAGGCATCACTTGGCCTTCATAAAAGGTGTCCATGAAGCTCCTCTAATTTCTTGCTAACCAGACCACTTCCCTGCATAGGGGACCCCAACAATCAGTTCATGTGAAGGACTCTCTACCCCTCTGTTCATTTCTTTTTTTTTTTTTTTTTTTTTTTTTTTTGAATGAGCCTGCCCATCCATTCCTTTGTGAGCCTTTTTTTTTTTTAATTTATGTATTTTATTTATTTACTTTTGGCTGCGTTGGGTCTTCGTTGCTGCGCATAGGCTTTCACTAGTTGCAGCAAGCAGGGGCTACTCTTCGTTGTGGTGCTCAGGCTTCTCATTGCAGTGGCTTCTCTTGTTGCAGAGCAGAGCTCTAGGCGTGTGGGCTTCAGTAGTTGTGGCAGGTGGGCTCATTAGTTGTGGCTCACGTGCTCTAGAGCTCAGGTTCAGTAGTCGTGGCGCATGGGCTTAGTTGCTCCGTGGCATGTGGGATCTTCCCGGACCAGGGCTTGAACCCGTGTCCCCTGCTTGGCAGGTGGATTCTTAACCACCTCGCCACCAGGGAAGTCCCCCCCTCTGTTCATTTCTTACCAGTTTGGTTTTAATGGGTCCGGTTCTATTTAATGAGTTAAATCTATTGCTTTGTTTCCTTTGAAATTTCATTCTTGGCTTTTAGGCTGAGCATCTTCTCCCTTTTCATCTATTCGACAATCATACTTTTTCAGGCTTTTTACAGTTCAGTTTTTTAAATACATGTGATTATATCATATATTTCTATTGAATATATGATACTCGATATTTTATGTTTAAGTCTAGTTTATCTAGAATACATTTTGGTGCATAGTATGAGGTAAGGAATCTAAAAAATTTCCTTCCAGTGACCAATTGTCCCAGTACTACTTATTGAATAACCCTTCAAGGACAGATCTCGACAGGTGGAGATGAATGTAGGTTATTTTGGGCAGAGGGAACATGTGTTCCCAGATGGCGAGAAGTCTAGTTTGGCTGGAGCCCAGGGTGTGTGAGGAGGGGGTGGTGAACAAAAGAGTGGGAGGCAGCTAAACCTGGGCCCGGTGGGGAGACCTTCATTTGGGGGCAGGGGACTGGGCTGGAGTCGAGGGCGAGCCCCTGGAGCCGTGTGAACAGGAGCGTGACGCCTCCCCTCTGTGCTTGGACGAGGTGACCACAGCGGAGGACAGCATGGGTGGGCTTGGTCAGGAGGCAAAGACCACATTGCCCACCCAAGCCAGAGGGGACTGGACACAGCTGTTGGAGTGGCAAGGAGCCAGTGGGGCTTTTTGGGGCACGAGAAGAGTCCAGATTTAAAAACTGAACGTGAGGGGACTTCCCTGGTGGTCCAGTGGTTAAGACTCCGTGCTCCCCATGCAGGGGGCCCAGGTTCGATCCCTGGTCAGGGAGCTAGATCCTGCATGCCGCAGCTAAGACCCCGTGCAGCCAAATAAATAAATATTTTAAAAAATAAAACATTAAAAACCGGACGTGGGGATGTGAGAGAGGAGTGAAGAGTGGTTTCAGAGTGTGTGCTCTGAGTGACTAGAGCCGAGGCCGTTGTTGGAGATGACAGGGGCACTGATGTGAGACTTCAGAGATCCAGATGCTGCAAACGTTAGGTGCTCTTCCCCTCCATAATTCACAACAAACAGTACCCAACAGGAAGAGCTGCTCTGATGCATTTTGGGAAGATCAGATTCTTCCCCCGGAAATTTATTACTTCTTGGTGGCCTTAAGCACTTGCTGTGACTGCCTTTTGGCAAATCCAGCACGAGTGAGTGTGAATCTTAAGTACTGGCATCTTAAGTTTGAGGAGCCAGCTGGGTGTCTAAGCAGCTGTGGGACCCAGAGAAGTGGAGTCGAGAAGAGGGGCCGCAGCGGAGACGCAGGTTTGGGAGCCGCCAGCAGACAGCGTGGACTTGACAGCAGCTCCCAGGAGGCTGCATAGAGAAAACAGGGACAGGTGAACAAATGGGGAGGGAATGAGGCCAGGGGTCGGGTGTCACAGTTCATAGGGAACCTACACAAACACTTCTCACCGTCCTGGAAACGTGCCTAGAATCGCACAGCTCTTAAGGGGTGGAGCAGAGGCTGCAGCTCAGATCTCCAATTCTGAATTCTGTCTTTGATGCTGCCACCTTGGGGGGAGCATGGAAGCCATTTGTCACAGTTTGAATGAGGGCAGTTGAATGGGTTGAGGGGCTGCTCCAGTGACAGAGGGGCTGGTAACTGGCAAAGAGAAGCACGAAGCTGCCTTGTTCAGAGATACCTGAGCCAGCTCCGAGGCTGGGGGAGCTTTGAGGGGGACTGGTTGTTGAGTGAGGTCCTGGAGATGGGTACGGGGTGGGGGGGGGGGGTTGGGAGATGGCGCTGGGAGGCGAGAAGGCATCCTTTGGCTTGTGATGCCAGGGAGAGTGCAGGAGGGGCGCAGGAGCTTCTGGTGGAGAGGAGAGCCGTTGGAGCCATTCCTGTGTCTGCTCCAGGGCCCAAGAGTGAGGCCACGTGCTGAGAAGGAGGCCGTGAAGACTTGGGAAGCTTGCACGGGACGGGAGTCCCTGAATAGCCCAGGATCCCGCTAAGGTCTGGAATAAGCACACTTTCTCGAGTCACTTAGAACAGCTTGGAGGCTGGGCAGGAGGCAGCAGATGGGAGCAGGCCTTGCCAGGGCTGGGGAGACCCCTGAGGCAGTGGGGGACAGGGGCCAGTGTCCTCAGATGGCCAGAGCCTTCTGGTTTCAGGCCAGGAGAAGGAGGAAGCGGTCAGACATTGTAGGGTGCACCTTTGTTTTCCTGTTATTTTTCCTATTAAGCTTAAAATTGAAACTCAAAACAATTGAAGAATAATCCTTCTCACCCAGATCGCCCAAATGTTAATATTTTACCAGATTTGCTTCGTCATCTCTCTGTGTAGTTCTTCCTCCTGAACCATTTGAGAGTAAGTGGCAGACATGATGCCCCTTTACCCTTCAGCATCTTTTTCCCAGAACAAGGGCATTCTCTTGCCTAACCAGAGCACAGTGATCAAAATCAAGCAATTAACAGAGATCTGATACTCTTCTCTAATCGACAGACTTGAGTTAGATTTTGCCAAATGTCCCAATTATGTCCTTTGTAGCAACAGAAGGTCCTGTTGCATCCCGTGGGCCCTCATCCTTCTTTGCTCTACTCTGGAGCCTCTTCTCCCTCAACCTGTCTGTGTCTTTCCCAGAGCTGACATACCCGAGGGGTGAAGGGGCGCTATTCTGTAGACGGTCTCTCACTTCGGATCCGGAGAAACTTCTTGACTTCACTCTGAAAACCCGCCCCGCCCTGGCTAGCTCAACTCCCCACGGTAAGCGAAATGCTGCCCGCCACCCAGATGAGCCTTGGTGCCAGAGCAGGGGGGAAGACGAGGTGGTGGAAGGTTCCAGAGTCAGCAGGGAAGGCAGGAGTGGCAGGCGAGACTCGGTGGGGGTGGGGAGTCAAAGTGCGTTCGTGACCAAATCTGCAGTGGAAACTGCCCGCAAGCCTTCCTGCTGCGCACTGCTCGGAAGCCGCGTGATCCCCTCGCCTGCTCCGTCCTTTCCCATCCAGAAGGAAACTGCACTTAAGGGAGGAAGGCGGTC